TTTATTAGGAATAATGTCTGCGAAATACAAAAAATAAATCCAGTATTTAATACTACATATAATTACGGTGGCAAGGATTGCCTTTGCCCCAGAAATGGAAAAAACAAATCAATTCCAAGCGAAGATGAAATAATAAGAAAGGTTATGGATTGTGCTGAAATGGACAAACTAACTAAAGAAATCCAGGGAAAAGAAGAATCAGAATTCTACCAGATATGGGATAAACGGTATAGGTGGATGGAGGAAAGAAACAAGAATCAATGAAGAAATAGAACAATATTCAAAAAAATAATAGTTATGAGTAAAATAAAAGGGTTAAGAATGGTGAAATCTGAATGAAACACAATGGAAGGGGAAATAATATAAGGTGAGTGGTATTGATTGATAATTGCTATTAGAAAGCACAGGAAGCTCCTGTTCGTATTGTATTGTGCAAATGTGGTGTTCGTCTAAGTTTTGTGTGTGTGTATTTTACATGTTTGTTAATAAAAAAATTTTTAAAAAAAGAAGTTGTCTAAACAGAAGTGCAAACGCCAAATTGCAAGTGTTAGGAGACTGCAAGTATAGAACTAGCAACAAATGAAGCAAAAGATAGAACACTGCTGGATTAGCTTTGACTCACCGAACAGAAAAGGATCCTGGATAGCGTGAGGAAAGAAATTATTAATGTTAATTATGTAATTAAAGCTAGTTTAATTTTTTTCCTTTTCCAGAAAGAATGGGTTTTAGAATTGTCAGCAAAATTAGACTTCTCACAGTATATATCTCTTATCTCCTCTGACTCACCCTGAGTGCTGTTTTCATCTTTTGGCTATTCTTGGCAGAACCAGAATCAGAGACATTACCTTTTAAAATCCACGCCTCATGCTAAAGTCTCAGTATTTTCATATATACACATCATTCTCAGGAAAGAATATACCACAAAAGATATTCCTTGAATATTTAACTAACTTTTCCATTTATCACCTAAAAAATTGAGAGTTAGTGATGATGTATTAAGTCTTCATACAGTCTGTACTACCTTTATGGGTTGTTTTTTTTTAATGGCCTCTGTTGTCATTTTAGATTGGATTCACTACCGATCCTCGTATGGCCCGCTCTTCCCCATACCCAACAGATGTGGCTCGTGTGGTTAATGCACCCATTTTCCATGTCAATGCTGATGATCCAGAGGCTGTGGTATATGTGTGCAATGTGGCAGCTGAATGGAGAAGTACTTTCCACAAAGATGTCGTTGTGGATCTGGTAGGTAGTACTGATTCTTCTGACATACTGATACATTTAGTTGGGGATATATAATTGGTTATTTAAGAAATATTTTTAAATGATTTTAGATGTTGAATAATAGCAGAAAGATACTGGGTACTATTTTCCTAAAAGCAGAAAAAATATAGGGACTCCTCAACTTACAATAATTCATTTAGTGACCATTCAAAGTTACAACAGCACTGAAAAAAGTGACATGTGACCGTTTTTCATACTTACAACCGTTGCGTCATTCCCATGATTGTGATCAAAATTCAGAGGATTGGAAACTGATTCATATTTATGATGCTTTCAATCTCCCTGGTTCATGTGATCCCTTTTGAGTCTTTCTGACAAGCAAAATCAATGAGGAACCGCATTACTGACTTAATATATGCAGTTACTCACTTAACAACTGTGGCAAGAAAGGTTGTAAAATGGGGCAAAACTCCCTTAACAAATATTTCAGTTAGCAACAGAACTTTTGGGCTCAGTTATGGTCATAAGTCGAGGACTACTTGTGTGTGGGCTTTGGTGGACTTTATTATATAGAAATGGGGGCTGTCGAGAGAAAATTGAAAGTGAGTTGAGAAAAGTGGAAATGTAGGACCTAAGATATGTCTGTGGCAAAGCCAGAAGAAAGGGACTCTAGAATAAATTACCTCTAAATCAGTGGTGGATTACGGATCCCGGTGCAACAGGCCCGGGCGTCCACCACATGAACATGCGCAGTGCGCACACACACATGCAGCACGCACATCTGTACTTACCGCCTGCGATGCTCCAGTTGCTCAGCGGAGCGTTGTGCAGGCGCTGTACGCCCCATGCGCGGAAGACCTGAAAGCCTCAAATACCAGTAAGGAGCGTGGGCGGCTGGGCCCCCCGGAGCACGGAACGGAACAGTACCTGGTGCTCCCAGCAGACACTGGTACACCCATATTGGGGCACACCGGTCGTAACCCACCACTGATCTAAATGAATGCTAAGTGACTGATCAGTTAAAAACAAATATGCTAAACCTATTTGGTTACATAGAGAGAATTCATGAGGGTTGAACTGAAGAACAAATACACAGTGGAAGAATTAATGGGTTGAGAGGAACACTAAAAAAATTGTGACTGCAATTCATTAGATCCTCAAGAGGAAGAGATTAAGTTTAAAAAACAAGAATCTGAATCTGAAATGGTATATAGACGTGTTGAAAGCAAGGATAGTTTAGAACTGGAAGTCTGCATAAGTCAATGATACTTATATTAGTAAATAAATAATAGCTTGCCCTACTCAGCCATATCCATATGTCCTTTGAGGATCATTTTCAAAGGTTTTGTGGAATGGTGGAAAGAAGTTTAAGTAGAATATAAAATTTTCCAAAGCTGGAACATTTTTTTCTTTTCTGATAACAGAAAAGAACAGAACAGATGTTCTGTTAATTTGATATATGCCATTGCGTGTATTAATTGGCTTGTTATACACACACACACACACACACACAGAAATGTTCATTTCTGTTCATTTGCCATCACTTTACACCCATGCGTGTTCTCAATCAAGCATTACTCTCTAATTACTGAGTTGGAAAGCTTTCTTTTAATTTAGTAAGATGAATTGTTTAAGTCAAGAATAAATATATGGGATTTTTCTTCCTTTCAAACATGCTAGGTGTGCTACAGACGAAATGGGCATAATGAGATGGATGAGCCAATGTTCACTCAGCCATTGATGTACAAGCAGATCCGAAAACAGAAACCTGTGCTACAGAAGTATGCTGAGACACTGATTTCACAAGCAGTTGTAAATCAACCAGAATATGAGGTACTTTCAATTATGGCTTAACAATCTAATGTAGCCCAGCCATGCTAAGATATCTTGGTATTCCTCCTCCCATTGTGGTATCAAGCATTTCATAATTTCATAGACTTTTGGCATTTTATAAATGTTATAATACATGACACCATACAGGAACGTTCATTACGCAGCCAAGATTAGTAAAATAACCTCTTTTTTCCCCTATGGCAATTGATAACATTTCTCTGATATTGTGTAGCTTATTGAAACTTATTTAATTTGATATATGCCATTGTGTATATTAATTGTCTTGTTATACACACACACACACACAAAAGTTGGCTTTCTGAAAGGTATCTATGTATACATACAGTATATACAATATATATAGTATGTATGTGTGTGTCTGTGTTTGTGTCTGTGTATGTGTGTATAGATAGATGATAGATAGATAGATAGATAGATAGATAGATAGATAGATAGATAGATAGATAGATAGATAGATAGATAAAGAGAGAGGGGGGGAGGGAGAGAGAGAGAGAGAGAGAGAATACACATACACGCACAAACACGGTAAAGGTTCCCCTCACACATATGTGCTAGCCATTTCTGACTCTGGGGGCTGGTGCTCATCTCCGTTTCAAAGCCAAAGAGCCA